CGCGTACTTGATGACGCCATCCTCCGCCAGCTTTGGTTGAAGCGTCTCCCTCCACGCATCTGAGAATTTTTATTCGTCCTCTCCATCATTTTGTTGGATGAAATGGCACTGGCTGCGGATAAAATGTTCGAAGCAAACCCAGCTTTGCATCACATCACTGCTTGCTCCAACCTAACACCGACCGCCCCTCGCTATGATGATATCACTTCACGATTGGGAAACCTTCAACTGCGAATGCAGCAATTTGTTCTGCTGTAACAGGCAGCCACGGGAGAAGACTCGTAAAGAATCAGGAAATTGTATTGTACGTAACGGCACTGAAAAATGTAAATAGGAAAATTTACATGGGGGAACTCGACATTACGTGAGCCTTCAACTGTCTCCAGGTTCTTCTTCTGTGGTTTGGCAATTCTTTGCTGTTGCGGTATTGATTGGATGAGCTGCAACACAAAGGAAAGGCAGCTCCGTCAGAACCTCACAATTCAAAGTGTCCGGTCTAATTCAGCTAATGTTTTCTCCTACACAGCTTTCTTCTTACAGAGAGCACCGTCCCCGGTGCTACTCCTATGCCACCTTGAGCTGGTACTTCGAGTTCTAATGCCACATCGGGTGTCGAGTCGTTACGTTCTTCCTGCTGGGTATACGGTTTCAGCCAATTGCAATGAGCTGCCATAGATTGAGAGTTAGTTTGATTTACAGCCTTGGTTACGCATGTTGCTTCAGAAAGCACTTTGGTCACCTCATACGAGCTTCGCCATTCCTTGTGTAATTTCTCAGGCACTCTAGGGTTCGTTGTACTGACGTGTAGCCACACTATCTGAGCCACTCGACAAGGTGTCCCAAAAGACTTTTTGTCGTAGTATTCTTTTCGGTGTCTCTGAGCAGTTTGTAATTGTATTCGCGCCTCCTGTTGTGCCCCACGCAGAGTATCGAGAAGCTTGCACACGTAATCTGTTACCATGGGACGTGGTTGTGTTACTGCTGGTAGTATGGTGTCCGATGGAAGTAGGACTTCTCTGCTCGTCCACAGAAAGTGAGGGGGTGTCCCGTGGAAGCGTGAACTAAACTGCGATAAGCCAACAGACACTTGCTGAGTGTGAGATCCCAATCCAAAACATTCTTATCCGTAAACACCTCAAGTAATGCCTTGAGCGACCTATTGGTTCTCTCCACTCGCCCATTTCCAATATTACCAATATTTCTAATGTTTACCAATATTATCTCGTATGGAATATCCTCAGCAAGTCTTTAAGTCTTGAAGCATTTCACGGGTTCGAGGCTAAGCCCAATGGTCCCGGATCTTGGTTTGTCGGTTTTCGAATCATGAGTAATGCCCACTGACATGAATTTGAGAGTACGGCCCGCTAGTGAGGGGGATTCAATGGGGATTCAGGTGATTAAAGGAGGAACCTGAAATGGAAGATGAGAGGGGTGCAGTATCTGATTGCAGTGCACAAATATGTGCATCAAGATAATGAACACATTTTAACATGCACGTATGTAAAACTCACATAATGCACGCCTGGAGATGAAAAGACAATTTATGACAGAGCATGTTCAATTAACATGCTCTTTGAAGGCGCGTCAACAACCTCCTGTGGGAGGCTGTTCCATAATGGAATGACTCTGTGGGTAAAGAACCGGTGACGAACTCGGGTGCGGGGCCATGACTTAAACAGCTTTTTGCTGTAACCACGAAGAGTATCTAAGCTACATGGGATGAAAAACTGGTTGGCCGTGTCCATGGAGAGCAAATGGTAGAGGAGAAAAAGGTCCGCTCGAATGCGGCGGGTTTTTAGGAGATAAAGGTTCGGTGTGTTGAGACAAATGCGATATGGAACATGGGAGAGACCTGAGACTAGCTTTTTGGCTGCTCGCTGAGTTCGTTCGAGGGACTTACGATCACCCAAAAGCCCAGAGCACGCAATTTGGGCTCCGTATTCTAATAGTCGTCTTACATAGGTGCCCTATAAGAGTTGGAAGTCTTTTTAATAAAAGCGAGGGAAGGAGCGCTTCATAAAGTTAAGTATCCCCAAAGCCTTTTTTCGGACTTTTTGGTGGTGGCGAGAAAAAGATAGAGTTAGATAGCCAGAAGCCAAGGATTTTGTGCTGGTTGACAGTCTGAAGTTGGGATATGTTGCACACATTGAAGGTGTGCGCGCAGTCCCTGCTAAAGGACAAACATTTATCGTCATTTATTGGTAGGTTTCAGTCTGATGACCATGCTTTGGTGGTATCCATGGCTGCCTGCACTGCTGATGTATCACCCCCCCCATATTGTGACTTCGTCAGCATAGATAGCAATGCGGACAGGGATTTTGTCCGGGAGGTCATTTATGTATAAGATGAAACAGAGTGGACCTAGAACGGATCCCTGGGGAACACCTATTGTCATCGGGAAAGAGTTAGAGAAAGAGGTTCCTGCCCTACCAGAGAAGAAGCGCGAGGACAGAAAGCTTCCAAGAAGATTGAGATGCCTGCCTCTAATACCATACATTTCCAGCTTGTGTATTAGTGGAGAATGTGGTACTCGAGCAAAGGCTTTGGCAAAATCTATGAAGATTGTATGTGAGATTTTACCATCATCATAGGCCTGGGTTAGACTTTCCATGACATATAGCATATTGATGGTGCATGATCTGCCAGCAACGAAGCCGTGTTGAAAAAGAGAAAGAAGGTTGTTTTCCTTCAGGTGTTCAATAATATGTCTCTCGATGAGGCGTTCAAAAATTTTCTGGGGACGCTAGTTAGACTTATCGGTCTGTAGCTGCTGGTGTGATGCCGGGGTCCCTTTTTGTAGATCGGTGATGTGATTGCCTTTTTCCAGGCATCAAGGAATTCACCTTTATCTAGGCAATTTTGAAACGGCCTACCCTAATGTGGGGCTAGTACAGCTGCTATCTCTTTGATTATTCTGGGATGGACCTTGTCTGAACCCATTGAGCTATAGGGGTTTGGGGATTTTAGAAGTTTGAGTACATCTTCGGTCGGAACAATGAAGTCATCTAAGGGGGCTATATCTGACATGAGCTGTAGAGCAGGAAAGAAGGTAGGTGGAGGGGAGTTGAAAATATCTTGGAATTGAGTTAGAAAAGTATCCGCAACCTCTTCAGATGAGGTAACTGGGGGGCCATCAGGAAGTTTCAGGGCTCAGTAGAGGAACTGGGTTGCCTTTTATGGCGAAGAAGTTTGAA